ACCCCCAGCCTCTGGCAACCACCCTTGTATCTGGTTCTAGAAGTTTGATTTTTTTTTTATGCTCTACATATAAGTCACATCACACAGCATTTGTTTTTCTCAGTCTGACTTAACTCATTTAACATACATTATGTCCCCAACATGTCTTTGTGTGTGGGGAGATGTCCTTCTTCTCACGGCTAATTTATATTCCATTGTGTGTGTTTATGCGTACACCAGAACTTCTTTACCCATTCATCCCTTGATGGACACTTATGTGGGCATATTTTTTAAACCACCATAACTGCAGAAAGTAAAAATGTAAGCAAGCACGATTTCTAAACCAAAAGGTGGGGGATTAGCTGCATGTTCTCCGTGTGGCAGATATGCAACCTTTTTCTTAGAAGGAGGACAAAGACCTTAGTGATCTTTGCTAAACAATACTGATAGACAATAGCCAAGAACTATTAATCTTATTTGCTTTCCAAGAAAAGAAAAGAGTTACATATCCCATGTGGGAATATTTTTTAAGAGTCTCCCTTAACCGATTGTGGTAGGGATTAGTTGGGATGCTAGAGGTCGTGCCAGAACCCTAAAAGTGTTCACTGATTGGTAGTTGTTATTATCTTGTCACCAAACCTTATTGACTCCACCTGTGAAGTCTTGGACATCTCTTCATCTTATTTACTAATCCCACTTGTCCTTGACCTCATTGAACTACCACAGAAGATCCTTGCTTCCCTTCTTGTCCTGGACTTCCTCTATATTCTCTTTGCTTTACAGAAGGGGTCAGCTTTACTTTAAATCCTAATTATTAGCTTAGGTTTTATAGAAGCCCCATCTATCCACTGTTCAGGTTCAGGTTCACTGTTCATGGTTCCGGTCTACTGAGCACCTGACACTCCTGAGACAGTGAGACTCAGCCAATTTGAGCGTGTGGGAAGTCATTAAGGAGAAAACATGGAAAAATATTATCTAGTCATTGTGGAAATATTTTAATTGTTCTGGCATGGTTTTATGCAGAATGGAGAGAGGGCAACCGATGTTAAAAATGAGCTTCACTCTCAACTTTAAAAAGACACCATTTTCTGGCTCAATGAAACATTGTCACTCCGTCTTTGGCAATATTTTCATGGGTCATTGAGTTTGTAGTCTGCAGTCTAGTTCTGAGTCTAGCAAAGACATCTGCTTGAGTATTCTAATATGAGTATTAAATTGATCATTTCCTTCCCTGCAAGAATTTTGAAGGCTTAGTTGGAACTCCTGGGTGATCTGTTGGGTTCATATCAGAGGTAATATAGCTGTTTCATGTGCATGCATTTGGATGATAAAATTTTGTGTAACTGTTGAGTGTCAAGATTCTTTGCTGGTATATTTTTCTGTGTAAGGCGTAGACACAGAATGTTTCATTAGGGAAGTGAAACCTTGGTGGGCCTTCAAGGAACTATCGCCTCCAACCCCTTTCTCCTGGCTGGCTTCTCGACAGCTTCTCTAAGGGGTTTATGATTAACGGCTGTCAACCCAAGCTCTCCCAAATCCACAGGTCTTCCTTCCTGGGTCAAGCTGTGATTTCTGCTGTGCTGTGTTTCAACCTTTATCATCTCTTGAATTTATGGTCACCTACTTTTGAAAATGCATGTCACCAATAAATGTAGTGTATTCTTCCATGCCAAAGAGAGGCAGTTGGCCCTGTGGTTAACAGCAGTCTCTGGAGCCATTAAATGCCTCCACTGAATGCCTAAATGTCGAAACATCATTATGCTACCTCTTAGCCCTGATGTCTTGGGCAATATAACTTCTTTGTCTCTTGATCTCCTCTTCTTAAAATTAAGGACAATTATCATCATAGGTTTACTTTAACGTTTCAATAGTTAATTTATGTATGAAACACTTAAAACCTAGGCACACCGAATACTACATAAGGTGATAATTATTATCACTATTATCTAAAGGATATGGATCATGATGACTGTGGACTCTGGTGACACTATCAAGGGAATGTTTATTTAGTTGAATCTTATAAATGATCATTTTTATTTGGTCTATCCAAATGAATTTTGGCAAACTAACCTGAGGAAATGGCACTAGTCTAGAGAGAAGCTCTAAATTCTATTACAAAGAAGGCCCTGTTCTGATTTTTAATTACAGAATGGGGAAACAAGATCGTCTGCTATGATGTGAAGGTTTATAGAGAACTAGAAAAGCAGTTCACTTTTATTTGGGATAACAATCTGAGACAGAATAAACTTATCCAAATACTGATTCTTCTGTAAACAGAGGATTCAAATGCTCCTGCTTTGGACAGGCAGACTTCACTGGACAGAATTTATGCCACACCAGTTAGAAGATGGCTGTCTTCTCCTTTGTATCTGCTTCTCCACTCCATGAATTGTGGCCTTTCACTGTCCAGCCCAATGACCTGTGGCTACAGTAAGGGGACTGCATTCCCCTGCAATACATATTCAACATGACCCTTGCAGCTGGTGTGAGAAAATACTGGCTGGGAGAATTTTCCTGAAAATGTGACTTGATTATGTGACACCACTGAAGGATTATTGAACTTCTCTTCACCTGTTCAGTATATTACAATCCCTTATATTCCAGAAACACAGTATGTAGCTCCAAAGATACCCAGCACAAGCTAACCTAGTTTTTTCTAGTAACAAAAAGGACACACTTTCTCCCCATAGGTGTGCCCATCTGGAAGCTACACAGAGATACCGCACGTCATCTGCAGAAATGAGATTATGTGACCACTTCACAACCTGCTTGATAGCTTGAGTCCATCCTATCCTTCTCAGGTGTTCCAGAAGTTTGAACCTATTTTTAGTCTCATTCTGTTGTGATCTCATCCTGATTGCCTGCTCATTTTCACGCTATCTGCTTGCTAGATGATAAAAGAAAATTATCACCAATGATTAAGTAGACCAGTGGTCTCAACTTGGCTGTGCATCAGAAAATATGGGAAGCTTAAAAGATTAGAATCCACGATGACCTGCAGACCTGTTTCAATATTCGAAGCTAGGATTCAGCAGGTTGTATGGTCAAGAAACAGTTCACGTACCTTCTCTACAGCCATTCTATGAACTGGTTTGGGGAACAACAGCCTTAAAAATTTACAGAAACAGATTAAATATTTTAATTATCAAAATTGTACTAACAACCACCTTTAAAAAAAAAGAATACAAAGAAAAGAAACAATGACTTCAGTCTTCAAGGATTTCATTGGTTAACCAGGAAAAATATACAAGCCTTTATGCTGTTCATAATCACAAGGCTATGGTTGATTTTTACAACCTTTACCAATTTAATACCCGTGCCTTTAGCCAACTTTCCTTTCCTGGTGGGATAACTCCAACTTTTATTGCTGCCTTATTATCACTCCTGATTAGCCAATGCAGATACAGAAGCTGAAGCCAAGGTCATATCACTGGTAAAGGATGGGGATGGACTAATACCTCAAGCACTGCCCCTCATGCCAGACCCTGAACCATCTAATTCTGTTGGTTGGACATGCAGATGTGTCTAAAGGAGTTAAGACACGAATGCCTCCAGGCATGCGGTCGAACTCTTTTACTAAGTTTGCCTTTATCAAACAAAGTATGACAACATGTATCACTTCTCTTTGGCTCCCATGTGTCAAAGGAGAATTCAAAAGAAATTCAGATTTGGAACTCTTTGGTGGCAATTTTAGGAATATGTTAAAGATATCCACCAAAGGAGAGTACTATATGTTCTTTTGGGATATCTTATTCCATGTTTGTCCCTGTGCATCAAAGGAAATCTGTGAAGTCATGAATTCTTCGCAGTTGGTCCAGAGCTAAGAACTACTGATTTCAAATAATAGAAAGTCAATACATTTTGAAGAATGACTGTTGGTAATACACAGATTTCAAATAACCTCATTAGAGAGTAACTGTGAATCATGAGGGTTTCCAAACCTGGTTTTAAGACTTTGAAACAAAGACAAACCAATTGGCACTTGGGCAAGGGCTATTCTATTTTATTTACTTCAGATTGGAGCTAATGACCTAGGAAACTTAAATGAATCTAAGAGTTTTCTTGAATTATGATCAGGCCCATTTGGAGAAATGTTACATATCTCTCTGTAAGTGGGCATATTACTCTCTGTAAATTACATATGGTTGAAGTTTCCAAGTTGGGAACAAGGGAAGAGGTGGCCAGACAGGAAGCTGATGTAAATTTTGTGGGTGAGACTTAGGTTCGATCCAATTTACTGTATTTGACTGTAAAGAGGAAGGAACTTCTTTTTCAGATATTAAGGTTTTTCTGGACTTGCAGGAAAAAAAAAAAAAAAACTTGTGTTTTTGGTTCCAAAACATAGGACATAAACTTCCCTCTCTTTAAGACAAAGGCTTTCTCCACCTCAAAGCTGAGACCCATTTCCCAAGGGTAAAGTAATTTTGGCAGGAAAGTGAAATAATGGGCTGTCTGGCTGGGTCTGAGCTAACCTCGGGGAGGCTTTGCTGCTTTGAAAGAGGTGCTCACAGAGACCACTTCTAGGGATTCCTTTATTCATGTAAAAACTGAAAAGTACCTTTCTCTCCAAGAGGACCAGCTCCTGAGGTCTTCTTAGTATTTGTATATGGCCTTGAGGGCAGGACAGGACAACCTTTTTCTTCACTGTATCCTCGAGGCTTGCACAGTGCCCAGGATATCATTCCCAATCCACTGAGATCCTCCCACCATGGAACTCAACTCTTGACCAGTTCTCACTACAGTTTCTTTTCTTTTTCCAATTGAGTATGGCCTCTGAGATTTGGAAGAAAGACGGATAGGAAACCCCACATAGGTGCCAGCCCTCCCGTTACTTTTTACACAAGAGATCAAACACTTTTATCAAATGGATCACCCCATGGCCGGGGACTCACTGGGAGGAAAGGCTGACCAGTGGGGCAAGGTGACATTACCATGTGAATGGGCCTGTCCATGAAGGAGGGTTCCAGGCAGTGAGGTCCGACAGCGTCTTCACCTTCCCTGAGAGTTAGCTGCTCGAGCCCTCACTCATCAGAGGAGGAGGGGATGGTCTCCTTCTTGCAGGTGCTGTGCTTGGCTCGATGCCGCTGGAGGTGGTTGGACCTGGTGAAGGCCTGGCCACAATCCTCACACTGGTAAGGCCTCTCCCCGTTGTGCACCCGAATATGCTGGGCAAGCTCCGAGGCGATTCGGAAGGCCCTGCCACACTCGGCGCAGAGAAAGCCCTTCTCCCCGGAGTGGATCTGCTGGTGCCGCTTCAGGGTGGAGGAGCGGGCAAAGGCCTGGCCACACTGGGTGCAAGGAAAGGGCCTCTCCCCGGTGTGGATGCGCTGGTGGCGCACGAGGCGCGAGGGCTGAGCGAAGGCGACGCCGCAGTCGGCGCACTTGAAGGGCCTCTGGCCAGTGTGCAGCGTCTGGTGCTCGATCAGGTTGGAGGATTTGGTGAAGCACTTGCCGCAGGTGGGGCAGGGGAAGGGCCGCTCGCCCGAATGCACACGCTGGTGCTCCATCATTCGGCTGGCCACAGCGAACTCCCTGTCGCAAGCGGGGCAGCGGAAGGGCTTCTCGCCCAGGTGCGTGCGCTGGTGGCGCAGCAGCGACAGTGGCTTGTTGAAGGTCAGACCGCACTCGGCGCACGGGAAGGGCTTGTTGTTGCTGTGCATGTTGCGCTGGTGTTTGCGCAGGTCGGAGGAACGCACGAAGGCCTTCCCGCAGTCCGGGCACGGGTAGGGTTTCTCGCCGGTGTGGGTGCGGATGTGCTTGCGGTGGTCGGAGGACCAAGTGTAGGCCTTGTCGCAGAAGGGGCACTGGTAGGGCCGCTCGCCCGTGTGCAGGCGCCGGTGCTGCTGGAGCGTGCCCCGGTGGGAGTAGGTCTTCCCGCACAGCTCACAGGCATAAGGCTTGGTGCCCCGTGGCTGCGAGGGACTCAGAGGATTGCTGGGCTTCTGGAAGGCCCTTCCTCCCCGCAGGCACTTATAGGGATGCGCCTCTCCTTGCCCTGCCTCGCGCGCACCCTCCGGCTTCTGGCCCTTCCTGCCCGTCCGCGTTTTGGCCAGCACCGCTGCTGCCAGACTGGCTGGGGGGACAGACACCCGGGCCGGGGTGCGAGTCTCCTGCGTGGGGAGGTCCCAGTTGCCCCCCGGCTTGGGGAAACACATCGGAGAGGAGCTGTCTGGGGACGTGTCTACGCCTCTCTGTGCACAGAAATCTCTTCCCGTCTCAGGGAAGCTGGATGGGACCCCCAAGGCAGCCTCCAGGTTTGTCCTGGAGTCTCCATCATCTCCGGCAGGTAGTGAGTCCCTAAGCGGTTGCGTCCGACCTAACAACTTGTGCGAGAGGTCGCTAGGGAGGGTCCCCGGAGGCGTGCCTGGTCCAGGGGAGTCCTGGGTCGGGGTGATCTTGGACTCACTGCTTCCCCAGCCGGCCTTCTTTCCAGGCGTCACTGTCAGTTCCTTCCCAACGCCCCGGGCACTAACAGAGCTGGAGAATTTCTCTTCTTCGCTGGGTGGATGATGCCAGGGCAAGTCAGGACTGTCTTGAGTCTCTTGCGAGCTATTTCTTGGATAGACCTGGTGATCAGGGTCCCCAGGGCTCCCTTTGTCTCCTGCCTCCCCACCATCGTCATCTTCCCTGTCTAAGCTCACGCTCAGGACCCGGGAGTCATGAGCTTCCTCACTTAAGCTGCAGAGAGAAGATACCTTGCTCCGCCTTTCCTGGGGGTCCACCTGTGTCATGACGTCAGGCACGTCTCCTGCTCCTCCTAGACGGAATCTTTGCTTGGCTCAGGATACCTGCACAAAGGAAGTTTTTGTTTGTTTGTTTGTTTGCCTAATATATGTCTTTTATTTTTATATATTCTTAGAGAAACATTTTTATTATTGAATTATAGTTGGCATACAATGTTATATGTACGTATTTTTAATTTAGGTATATCATACACACATGTATGTATATACAGATACACATATTCATTGTGTGTTTCTTTTTCTTTTCCACTAAGTACTGTCTCTTTCTTTCTTTCTTTCTTTCTTTCTTTCTTTCTTTCTTTCTTTCTTTTTAACAAAGACAGTGTTTTCAGTTACCTTCAGTTTAAATGTTTCACTTTTCCCCAAGTGTGCCATATTTATCCCAAGGCATCTGGCAAACCCCACAGGACCCCGGCTGTGTGCATACCCTGATTCGAGAAGCATTGACTTAGCGTTTGACAGCAAGGCATGAGACAAGGAAGCCATTGAGTTTTATTTTCTAAGTGGTTTTATTTTAGCTTGAAGACATGGAGAAAGCCTGCTAAGGTTGGCGAATAAGGATTGTTTGTGTGAGCCGTTTGTTTTACAGGAGTCGCTGGAGCGAGAGGCAGGCTCCTACAGGCCTGGGGGTGAGGGGCAATTTCAGACCAGGGGGCTGAGTTTGCTTTTGTCTGGAGAGAACCTTCTGGGAAACTCAGAGGGGGTAATGCTAGTAGTTTCACTTTCTGGGCAGACATTAGGAACCAGGTAAAATGCTGAGTACGCACAACCAGGATTTCATTTCTTCTTCCCAGCAACCATTAAGAGAGATGCTGTTACTGTTTTTATATTCTTTCCATTTTACAGACCAGGATAGGGAGGTCTAATTAGGTTTCCTATCTGCCCAAGGTCACACGGCTCAGGAAGAGCAGCCCTGAGGCTTCTCTTTTGCTCTGAGGCCGTTATGTTAAACCCAGAGCTGGAGGTACTACCTCCCAGATGTGGCCTCCAGACTGAGGCCAGCCCTGGGGCTGGGCCATGCCCAAGAGCAGCCACAGCATCCTGGGGGGAGAGCCCTTGCTTGCTGCAGGCATCAAAGCCCCTTGTGTTTTCTGGGCCAAGGAGGCTTGGCTGCAGGGCCTCACCACTGGGCTCCTCCCTACTCGTGTTGACCCAAACTGCCCTCTGCAGAGAAAGAGGCCAGGACACATGCTGTGGAGATCGTTGCCTGGGGTGGTCAGGAGTATTAGTCACTGAGCATTTACTTTCAGAAAAGGAAAAGCTCCTTCTTTCCTCCTCCGCCCACCTTCCACTGCCTCTGGCGGGATAAGAGGAGCCATCACTGCCCTTGGTGGCCCCCGATGCGCTCCCCATCGGGCAGAACGCGTTTTATCACCTGCCAACAAGAGGTAGTCATTCACTCAACAGATGTGTGCCAAACCCTCAAAATCATAAGCCTGTGCCTCAGCAAGTGTCTCAGCCTTGTTTTTTCACTGGAAAGTTGGAAGGTAGTACTGTATGGTCTGTGTGAAGCTCTTGCACACAGCCGACTTCCAATGACTAGTGCGTTGTCCCATATACTGTCAGTCCACCCCCCCCCACACAAGCAGGACTTCTGGGAGGTGTCCAGACAGACATTCATAGCAGTTTCATGGTCAAGGGGCACATAATAAGGCCATATCCTAGCCCAACCTCATCAAACTGCCTTGCCCTATCATAAACCCAATTATTGTGAGCATGTGTGTGTGTGTGTGTGTGTGCGCGCGCGCGCACAGGAGGGGAGCAATGGGGAGGAATCTTCACTTTGTACTTGGAACAGAAGCCAAAGTTGGAAGGAGGGCATAATGCCATGGTGGCTGGGGTCCAGTGTCTTATATCCCTTTGTGGTCTGAAGCCCAGGGACCACTCCCTCCCCCTGACATCCCTCTCTATCCCCATTACAGGTCAGAGTGTGGCTGGCATAGCCTTGGGCAGGAAACCGGGCTCGATGTACTTTGGGCACACTGGTTCTTAGAAGAGGGGCTGCGTGCGTGCCTATCTGTCTGGTTAACAGAAAGGACACAGCACTAGCCAGCTAGGCATGGTGTGCTCAGGCCAGCATGCGTGATCGGGGACTGTGGTCCGCGAGCACGGCCGGCAAAGGGAAGCTGGACTTGACTGAAACTGACTCCTTGGGCTTCTTTCTTTCTCTGGGATGACACGCTGCGCATGTTCAGATGGAACTGCGTGCAGACCACTCACTTCACACCCCCGCCACGCCCCCTCCCGCACTCGGACCCAACTTTATACACGTGTCTCCTTCCCCTTCCTCTGAGCCGCAGGTGAGCCTCCTCCGGGCAGCACGCCGAGCTCTGCCAGCTCACAGCTTCTCAGAAGCCTGACAGAAGGTTGTCTTTTCAGATGGGAAATCCCTCCCCTGTCTGCAGCCACGCCCTGGGGAATGCATTCTGCTTTCTTCCTCAGGGACCTGCGAAAGGTTCTCTTTTGACCACCGACAAGACCAAGAGGAAGGCAGGGACTCAGGGTGGGATTTCCTGGTCGAGGCTACACAATTATTCCTGGTCCGGAAGAGCACGGGTGCCACACTGTGGCTGGAGTGGCTGCTCTCCAGACACGCTGACCCCCAGCGGCTCTCAGAGCACAGCCCCTTACTGGAACTTCCACCACTCTTGCCAGCCAGGAGTGGCCCACACGCAGCCTCCAGCTTACCCACCTCATGCGGGGGCACCTTGCAGAAGCCTGGCCTGAGGGCTTGTTCCAGCTCGGCCCCTGCCCCTCTCCCTGCCTCCCTTCCATAGACTGTTCTAGGTCCATCCCTGGGCAGGCACCTCCCGCCTTCTCCTCTGCCTTTAGGCCTCGCTCTCTACCTTTGGCTCTGACACAGATAGTTGCTTACCTGGGAAATGCAGACTGCGGCGCCGGTCCCCCACCCTGGCTTCTGTCACATGTGGCCTCTCAGTCCCTTGGAAACAGTTTGGTACAAATCAGCAGAGATGGTGTCTCTGTCCCTCATGCTTTTGTGTCCAGTCCAGCAGCTGCAGAGAGAGCTTGAGGAGGTGGGGCCAGTGTAACACACTCGACCTTCCTGCCTGCATCCCAGAGAGCAGCCTGGGAAATAGAGCGGGGCTGCCCTCTCTCACTGCCTGAATGATCCTGCCTTCCCTCTGCTCCCGCCTCTCCTCCTGCCAGAGCCTCCCTCCCGCCCCCTCCTCCCTCAGAAAGGTTGCTTCGTCCTCCTGCAGGTGGCCCTTCCCTCCTGCTCACTCTCATTGCTTCTTGCCAGGAGAGCAAACAGCCCCTCCTTCAGTCCTGCCCCTGTATGGCCATAGGCCACTGTCACGTGCGAACTTTCTGGGGAAGCATGCTTTTTCCCTCCCTGGCAGACAGGACTACCTCCCCCTTTATGGTGCCCACCTTTTGTAGCGCTGGGGTTTGAGCAGCGATGTTCCTATAATTTTCTGAAGTACTCATTGGCTCAGAGATGCCCATAGCAATTTCACGGGGGTTGGGATGCACAGAGATTGTTTTATCTCCTTATTCATATGGATGCTAGGCCTGTCTGGGACCTCTCTTCATCTCTCAGCGTTGGTTCTCAAGCAGGTTCATTTTGAAGAAAAAGATTGGCCCAGGATATGAGACTTACTCTGTCTAGAACTTCTGCCCACTCAAGTCTAATGTGTCTTTATTAAGGTGAGAGATCAGGACATTAAAATAGGAGACAGGAGTGTGGTACCTGTGATGTCACTAGGTGGCCAGAAAGTACATTAGTTGACAGCAGGGTTCTGGGAGTGGCCTTGAATCTTACCACTCACTGGCTGTGTGACTTTGAGCGAGTTACCTAACCACTCTGTGCCTTAGCTTCCTCATCTGTAAAATGAGAATCCCCATGTGATGGTGCCAAACAGTGGCATCCCCATCATGGGGGTCCTACAGGATCAAATAGAACCCCTGCAGCAAAGTGTGGAACGCCACAGATACATGGACTGTTTGGGCAAGAAGACCCTTAGCCATCCCACATTCTCAAAAGGGCCATGATCCAAAAAAGGTTGAGAACCATTAGTGTCAGTGGGGGTGGTGAAGGAGGGGAAAACAGGCCCTTAAAATAAAGTATCTCCCATAGCAACTTATCAGATGGTGTTGCCACCAACCCACATCCCAACACTGTTGCTCAAAATGTCCTAAGTGGCCATATTGTGCAGGCTTGGGCTTCAGACGCCCTTTGGCAGGGAAGCAGCCAAATTCCTCAGGAAGGGCCTGTGGAGGTGAGAGCTGGGGCTGGGCTCAGCCTGTGTGTGTCCCTCCCCGCTCGCTGCGTCACTGCTGTGGACACGGACTGAGTGTTTCCTTGTGCTAATGCCGTGCTAACACACCACTGGTGGCATCTCCAGGAACCTCACCACATTCCAGTGGAGCGGCTCCTGCCGATGTTGTTCCCACTTCCAGACGGGGGATACTGAGGCACAGACAGCTTAGTACGTTATCTACATAGACGATCTGTGATACGGGTCTGAGCTGGGAGGGTCACATTTGTCACCATACAGCACAAATGGCCCACACGCTGTCCCTTCAGAGCCTGCGCGTTTGCCCCTTGAGCAAAACAATTTGCCCTGCGCGAATGTCCCTTCAGAGCCCACTCATTTCCTCTTGAAAACTCTTAGTTCCTCCCCCGCAAGGCTGCGTGACCTGGGTATGCGTGGTCACGGCAGGCACTCTCTCAGAAGACCCCTTCCCACAGAAAAGCTGCCCAACGGACAATGATGCCAGCGAATGCCTACACTTAGTGTCCAGCCTGGACAGCCCGTTTCTCATCATGCTTTATTTCTAGAATCTGTAACAATTAATGAATTACCATATACCATGCGACTTCCACATTAACTTGCCCACTTTGTCTCTTCCTTGGTTTTCAAGGCACACTGGTGTTACCGTCTCCCTGCTACCGGCTGGGCCACCTAGCAATGAATGCGGTAAGGAGCGGCCTGCATGCTACCTACACAGAGAAATAATGCCTC